TGTCACCGATGTGTTTCTTTTTATTGACGACAGTCTCCCATGGTGTGGATGTACCGTAGCTTGTTAACCAGAGACCTCTGGAAGGATTTAGGGCTGTGTCCAGTTCCGGGCTATGACAATCGAGCTGCAATAAACACCCACAGTGGGGATGCACATAGGATCACCAGCTCCGCACTGGAGAAAGTATTTGCAGTACATATGCTTCTGTGAGCATGCTTTGTATTTCTCTGGGGTGAGTCACAGAAATGAGGTTGCGGGGACATAGAGCAAGTGTGTGTTTAGTTTTTATAAACATTTCCACGTCTTTTCCAGAATGACTGCCCCATTTTACACCCACACACACCATGAGGGCTCAAGGTGTTCGAGCTGCACCAGCGTCTGGTGGAGTCACCCAGGGTCACCACTTGTAGCCAGCTGTTCTGGTAGGTGTGTGAGGGCCCCTCACGCTGGCCTTTAGTTAGCGTTTCCCTAGTGGCCGAGATGGCCGAACATCTTCACAGGCCTGTCTGCAGCCCATACTTCTTCAGTCACGCGCCTATTCCTTTCTTTGGGATTTTCTAAACATCCTAATTTTCGAATGGACTGTTTTGTTAGGGATGAGTGTTAAGAGTTCTTTATATACTGTAGATAAGCGTCCTTCATCAGATATATGCTTTGCGAATCATTTCTACCAGTGTGAAGCTTGTCTTTTGATTCTCTTCAGAGTTTTGATAAAGTCTAGTTAAAAGGTTTTTAGTTGTATGGACCCGGTCAACGTCGTGTTTAAAAGCTGTTCACCAAGCTCCGTGTCCTGAAGATGTTTTCTATCTTTTCCCTTATGTGCAGAGTTTGGGTTAAGGGTTTTATTTTTAAATCATTTGTCAAAAAGACTGCCCTTCCTCTGCTGAACTCTTCTGCCCTTGTCGCAAAGCAGGTGGCCGCACTGGTCTGGCTCTGCTTCTCGGTCCTCCCTTCCGCTCTGCTGATCACTGTCGGTCACGCTGCCCGAGCCTCAGGCAGGTCCCCAGCTACAGAAGTCTGGAAATGAGACGCGTTCTTCCCACTTGATTCTTCTTTTTCAAATGGTGTTAAATATCTGGTTCCTTTCCACTCCCACACTGATCTCAGGATCTTCCTATTAGAGAGCTTGTGGGGTTTTGACAGGAATCGCCTCGACCCTGTACACCTAGCGGGGAGAACTGCATTTCCTGTGCTGAGAGCTGTCCACTGCTCTCCAGCCTCCTGGATTCCTCCCATCGGCATTTTGCAGTTTTCAGCACACAAGTCCTGAGCATGTCCTGGGGGATTTAAAACGAAGCAGCTCATTTCTTAGCCACTCCTTTAGGTAGCTCTGCCGGAGACGAAGTCTCTTTGTCTCCCTTCATCCAAGAATGCCGTCTTCATCCCTGAAGGACGTGCGGCTGGAAACAGAGCGGGGAATCTGAGCTCCCCGCCCCTGACAAGGCCCGGCCAGCCCTCCGCGCTCCGGTGAGAAGCCCGCTGCTCTCTCCCTGCTTCCCCCTGTCCTGGGGCTGGAAGCTCAGCTCACTGTAGGCGAGATCCACTGACGTCAGGGGCAGCGGAGAGCGGACAGTCGGTGTCACAGGGATGCTGACACGCTCTGCGAACTGCAACCTCCGCAGCGCAGCGCAGCACTGTGCCTCGTCCACCCAGGGGCCCGAGCGGAGCCTTGACGCCCGTGAACTGAGCCCTCACAGCTGCCACAGGCCCGCCCGCAGCACCCTGCGCATGGCCTTCCTGGAAGCCGGGCTTTCGGCGAGCGAGTGGACGTGAGGGCCCGAGGACGGGCCATCCAATGCCTCACTGTCCTTGTACAAAGGGGAAGACGGGACACAGACACACGTGGAGGGAGAGTGGCAAGAAACAGATTCTGCCCCACAGAGGACCCTGTCCTGGTGACGCCATGACCTTGAACCCTGGCCTCCAGAGCCCGAGACAACACGTCTGTGGTTGAGCCACGCAGTTCGTGGTACTTGTCGTGGTGGCCCAAGGAAGCTGACCCAACACCTGAACTTAATTTCCTCACTGAAACATTGGTTGTTGCTTTAAAAATTAAGGTTGTTTTAAAGTTAAGATGAGATTATAAGCTAATTTTAAGATAAGGAATTATAAAAATGACAATGATAGTATAATCTCTTGATAAATATTTAATAAATATAAGATTTTCCTCACTTGGAACAGCAGAGACTGAAATGCACATACATGACAATTCCGTGCGGGAGGAGCGCCACCCCGCTCGGAATAACACAGCTCCGTGACGTGAGCCACTCCGAGTGCAGTGTTGAGGGCTCTACTCTGTGCCTCCTGCCCTCTTGTCCAGCAGGTGGCAATGTCATGAAAGACCCCTGGGAAAGGTGAATCTCAGTGGGTGACTCAGGCTTTAAGGCAAAGCTTCTCCTGGTTTGGACAAACTCAGGTATTCTGGGTATTTAACTAAAGAAGAAGGAATTTACTTTATAATCTCAACATTACAATTTCATTTAAGATAATGGGCTTTTTTTTTAACAACAGCTAATGAGCAAACCCTAATCAACAAATAATTATTTCCCCCCAATTTTTAGTTAGTTAGTTAGTTAGTTAATTAATTTTATGTGTAGTAATAATAGTTTTCCCACTTGGTATTAGAATGAGTCCTTGGTTAATTATAAGAATGTATAAGCATTCCTGCATTTTCAAATGTTAGTATCGATTATCTGTTGGAAATTAAAATTTGAGTGATTTTTATTTTTCCTGAGTTATTTTTAAAAGGAGAATGTATATCTTTTATACTAACAATAACATTCTATTTATCAATCACTATACCTACCTTACTGCTGGACTCAATTGATAATATTTTATTTGGCAATATTTAATATGTATTCACAAATAATGTTGCTCTGTAGTTTTGTTTTATGATTGTTTTGTTGGTTTTGGTAGCAGGTTTAGCTATTAAATAACATAAAAACTGGAATAACAAAAAAAGTGTAAGAATGCAGAGTACGTCTATTTCCCCAAGATTATTTTACATGTTGTTTGGAGACAGCCAATGGAAATGCTTACTAGTATTTTGAAAACTTTTATGACAACTTCAAGTGTTTTGCAAACCTTTTTCTTTGACGTTTATCCTGAGGTATTATTTACTATTGTTTATCGTCATCCTGAGTAAACTCTGCCTATTCAGACATTTGAGGTGGTTTGAGCGTTGTTTCCAGCAGTGGGTTTCTATACTAACTCACGTAGAACTGGGTTACTTTCTGTCATTTATATTTTTGGTTCTTTTCAAATTGCTCATAATATAATGATAGTTGAAAAGAGTAGAATTTAGAACAGAATCAGCTAGTGTGTTCCAATAGCTGGGTAGGTAGCTGAGACAGACAGGGACAGATGATGATGCATGTAAACTACTTAGCACAAAGCCTGGCAGGTGGTTTGCCCTAATAAATATTAATTGGGTATTGTTTTATAGAAGCTTGTTATTAATAGTTATTGCATATACCAGGGGAAGGTATTAATCTTAAAAATAAAATAATTATTGGACAGTTGTATCATTAAATGTTTTTAAAATGTTACACACACACACACACACACACACATATATATATGTGTGTGAGCTTTTCTTTTTTCCAAGCAAACCAGACACATGAAATGTATTAATTTTTAATACAATTCTTTGCTGTAGCATCAACTTTTTTCACTAAAGGTGTCCTACCTAATTTTGAAAGGTTTGTTTTTAAAATATTTTGGGAAACCAATCATTGCTTGATCAACTATAAAAGTAAAAACATGGAGACAAATGTTCAGTTATACAAAATACACCTTTGCTCAAATTCATTTACTCTAGTTAAAGCATGCTCATAATGTACAAATACTTCATAAACACCTTTTTAAGGGGATACGATCTACACCTTTGAGCCTCGTCATAAAGACGGCAAACAGGATTGCACGGAAACCACGACGGGGAAGGTGCGGTCGCTGCACTTCCTCAGTCTGCCTCTGGATGCTCCGTGCTCGATGCGTGAGGGATGCGTGAGCTCGGGGAGGACAGGGCTCCACAGTCAGGCTCAGTACATTAGTTAGCCAGGAATGGGCTGGATTTATAATTATATTTTAATTCCAAAAATAAAGCAGCTTCAAAGCTTAGTATGAGCTTCAATCAGGGGGAAATGGGTTTAAACTCCAGTTCTCACATCCTAACCTCCAGGATTCTCCGCCGGAGCCTCAGTCTCCTTCTCTGTACATTAGATACAATAATGTGCCTAAGGGTGCTCCTCGGGCTTAAATAAAATGTCTGAAAACTTCCATGGCACTTAGTAGTTAATTAACAGTTGTTACACTGTTGTTAATAGAGAAAATATTGGATGTAGAAGAAAACCTTTGTCTTCTCTGTTCCCACATTAACACTTTAAGTTAAACAAAGGGAAAACTCATATGAACTGTCACTACAGTGTGTTTATTCTCTTAAGCATGTTAATCTACATTTAAGGTACTTAAAAGAAAAGAATTTCTAAAGGCACTCTGGGAGTCAAAACGTGTAGATTCTGATCTCATCTTCACACTGGCTAGCTGAACCTCCATAAGCAAGTTACCTGACCTCTCTGATCTTCACTTAGGTCAATTTGTAAAGTGGTAAAATGTAGGCTATAACATTCTGATACGTAGATTAATCTTATAAAACATTATTTACAGAATACTTCAATTAAACTACCATACAGAGATCATTGCTAAAGTTATAGTATCACAGAATAAACCCAATTAGCATTACTTTCCCAAGTTTTTCTAAAGAAACCAGAGCCCTTTCTAAGTATGAGGGCCCATCCCCAGTGCCCTCCACGATGGCAAAGGCCCAAGTGTCCCGAGCACCACTCCACCAAGCAATTCATATCAAAGCAGACAAAATTCAGAGTTAAAAAGAAAATATTGCTATATTTGGTAAGTCATTCTTATAGTCATTCCATAAAATTAAAGGCAATCATCATAACACCTGGATTCATCAGAGGCTTGTATTAGCAGAAAATATTTACCAGGTATAGAAAGACTGCATTCTTTCTTTGAACTGATCACTGACAACTGAGAGGTGGGTAACTAACAAGGCAGGGAAGCTCTTCTTACTTTTCCAGTCTATGAATACAAAAAGAGAAAAAGGCAACACTGAGTGACTTGTATGAGTAACCTGGCACTCTCAGGGGAAAGATCACACACAGGGCATGGACTGACTGCCCATCGAGGTGTGGGCTGCTGGCCTGGGCGGACCCCGCACTGTGCCCACTTCCACGTCTACAACAGAGGGACTAGCAGCTGCCCTTAATGCAGGAACATGGAGGCCGATTAGAAAGTTCTTGGAACATGTATCATAAGGTGTTGTTCTTTCATGAAGCTGGATAAAACGGCCCACTTATTATTTTCTTTAAAGGGAACATTTCATGCAAACACACACACTCCCAACATGACCCTCCCTCCAATTTATGAGTATTTACTTCGATTAGCTTTGGATATATACACAGATACACAGATAGATCATATAGGTTGCTATCATGGTCAAGTATTCTGAGAAAAGGTACAAGGCACATTTTGTCTTTGGAAAATGAGGGAGAGCGACACTTGGCACACAGGTGTGGAAACTCGCTCGCCATCACTGGCTGACCACCAGCCTCTTCGGCACGAGGCCTCCGAATCCTGACCAGTGGAGAGTTCTGAATTCAGGCTCACCGAGGCAGTGGGGCTGGAACCGGCACTGACCTCTGCCTGCCACTTGCCTGCGCTCCACAGCTGTGTTTGAATTTCTGCAACAGTGTAGCTGCTATAAATCAGTGACCAGACAGAGCACTGTGACTGATTAAAGAAAACTGCCTATGTTTTACGTTGTGCCCGTGCTCATGTCACCACCCCATATACTTTTTTCCAATACATTTGTGATGTTCCTATTTCATGAAACTGTGAATCAAAAACTTAATTCAATAGGGCAAACAAAATTCAAGTATGTAAATAGTTCAAACTGCCTTCTTTAAAAGGAGTTACTTTTGGCCCTGGCCGGTTTGGCTCAGCAGTTAGAGCCTCGGCCTGTGGTCCAGAGAGACCCGGGTTCGGTTCCTGCTAAGGGCATGTACCTCGGTTGTAGTTTGCCTCCGGCCCTGATAGGGTCGTGCGGGTGGCAGCCACTCGATGTGTCCCTTTCACGGCGATGTTTCCCCCTCCCCCCCCCTCTCTCCTTCCCACTCTATCTGAGCAAAGAATGGAAAAATGTCCTCGGGTGAGGATATAAATAAACAAACAAACAAATAAATAAATGGAGTTACTTTTGTGAGAGAAGGGATCATACTAGCTTAGAATCCATGAAAGTAAAGATCAACATATAATTCTTCCCAAACTCTCCAAGAGTGGTCTGAAATTTACTAAGACACTTTGTTACATTACAAAACTGAAGTCTTTCTCGCTGGACAAGAAAAGTCTGATTTATATGCACTTTAAGTTCTTTAAGGACATTCTTTAAAAATCATTTAATTGTAAGAGGATATGCCTAAAACAAAACAAAAAACACCTTGAGACAAATAAATACACAAAACAAATATAAATTTCAGCACCTCCCACCCCAAACCCTCCAGAGCAGAAACTGTAACAAATAAGGAAAACCCACCGGCCCTTCACCATAAGATGGTTACAAACTGACAAGTTCTTTCTGGCTGTCCATTGGCTCATCTACAGACCTTGCATTTTTTTGAAATCTCCCCAATTTAAATAGAATGCAAAGAAGCCAGCTGTGGTCCTTACAACAGTCATCCTGCGGGGCCACTGCACGTCCATAGACACACGCACAGCTGGCGATGGCGAGAGGCTGTGTGGCCTCAGCGTGGCTGGAAAAATTCTAATGCTCAATGAGTGAAATAACAATTATTCTTAGTAAAGAATAAATACAAAAAAAAAAAAAAAAAAAATCCCATCTTTGTTGGAAACATCAAGCAAAATAACGCCAAGTATTTTCCTCTACCCCAAAGCAGCTTTCAGTCACAGCAGCAATAAATGGATCTGTAAAATTTACAAGATGCCAATTACCAAATGGTGACGATTCTTTTTACATAATAAAAGCACACAATATTTTCAGAGCGCAATCCCTGTGGGTCACTTAATGCTATAACCAACATGGGGCGTATATAATCTAATCTAAAAAGCAGCTAATATGGAGTATCTTTTCCTTAAATAAACTGAGTATGACCTTTTGTTGTTTTTATCGAAAGTTAATGCTTTTGCAGCAGAGATTCTCAAAGGGCTGGCTGTACCTGGCTCAGCATCACCAGCATCACCTGGGAACTTATTACATTCTTGGGCTCCACCCAAATCTACTGAATCAAAAACTCTGGGTGGCAGGCCCCGAAATCTGTGTTTCCACCAACCCTGCAGAAGATTCCGATGCACACTCAAGTCTGAGAACCACGATTCACTGTACCAGCTTCAGAGACGAAGATACAATAGGAATTGCAATGCTTTACCTCACTTTTTGAAAATAAATGAGGTGCAGGAACAAACCAAATGCAAAGGAGAACTCAGTGGCCTCCGAATGGGGTGTGCGGGCTAGTGTTCATGGTCTACAAGACACCAGAGATGAGCAGCTGACGCACAGAGAACTCGTGTCCATCGTGATGACTCCAGGCAACCAGGCTCCTACACAGGAAGCGCGCAATCCCTGCGTTCATAACCCACAGCCACCCACCGCGTCTTCAGACCTAACCATCTATCTCTTTATACGGAAAAAAGAGTAACTTTTCCAAGATGTCCTATGTATATGTAGGGATGACTCTGAAGTTTTAAGTCATAACATTCCTCACTACTAATGAAAACTTAAAAAACACATACAAGGGGGCAGTTCTTCCTTAGTATCCAACCCGTTGATGCTGCCTCCACGTTACCAGATACACTTCTCGTTCCCTGTCGCATCAGTGCACCATTCACAATTCCCTCGCAATTTCCTTTAAGACGTGGGCAGCACTTCAAAGAAATAGCTGAGCTAGTACATTTAAGTGACCAGAGACCGAGATCCAATGGAGAAAAGACAAGACACTGGGTAAATCAAACATGCCATCTGCTTGTAGAATTCATGAATTCAAGCCAACTGAATAGTTTTCTGCAGCTCAAAATTAAAAATAAACTGCTAAATACCTTCAGTATTACACTTGGCAAAATGCACTTTTAAAAGTATATATATATATGTGTATACATATACGTGTGTGTGTGTGTGTGTGTGGATGAAAAAAATATCCTCGGGTGCCCTGGCCGGTTTGGCTCAGCGGTTGGAGCGTCGGCCTGCGGTACAGAGAGACCCGGGTTCGGTTCCCGCTAAGGGCACGTACTTCGGTTGCAGTTTGTCCCCGGCCCTGGTTGGTCGTGCGGGTGGCAGCCACTCGATGTGTCCCTTCACATCAATGTTTCTCTCTCTCTCTCTTCCTCTCTCTCTCCCTCCTGCTCTATCTGAACAAAAAATGGAAAAATGTCCTCGTGTGAGGATAAAAAAAAAAAAAAAAAAAATCCTCAGGTGAGGATTAATTTTTTTAATCCTCACCCAAGGATATCCTCAGACAGAGCTGGAAGGTGGGAGAGAGCTACATCGGTGTGAGCTACATCGCCTGGCTGCCTCCCACATGACCCCATCCAGAGCCAGGCATCAAACCGTAACCGAGGTGCACTCTCTCGACTAGAATCGAACTTGTGACTGTGGTCCATGGGCTGATGCTCTAAGCGCTGAACGAAACCAGCCAGGGCTAAAACTATATTTTAAGTTAATTGAAGACCGGTGACAATTTTTTTTTTTTTTTTTAAATCCATGAAATTCAAAGGAAGTGTTTATTTACTTACTCCCGGGATTATTTTGTAAGCCGATGAAATTGTACTCAAAGGTCAGATTCTTAACCTTACACACAAGGTAGGAAACTAAAAAGAGTACACATTTGACTTTTCTTCTGCTTGTCATTTTCTTTTCTTAAAATATGTGTCAATTTTAGGGACTTTTTTACTTAAATGTTTAGGGGTGTTTTTGCTTAAGGAGTAAATCCAAATCTCAGTTTCTAAGCTTAACGTATGTCCAATAATTATTCTTCTGGAAAAAGAGAAATGTTATGAGAAACAAACCCTCTGGTCACCACTTCTGTCTCATTCTGCAACTGAAGTTGGAAATTCTGGCTCCCAGGCTCCTCTCCCTGTTAAACGTTGGTGGTCCTATGGGGCCATCCTTAGCCCATTTCTCACTGTCAGTGATTGCGGAGCACTGTCTTTGTGCTAATTTTGTTGACCCTCATGGCTCTCTGTGGGCTGCACCCTCACAGGGGATGCTGGCTGCTATTCCCACTCTCCTACTTGGAGGGAGAAGGGCGATGACTTTCAGCCAATGACCTCGGCTCAAGAGAAGGAACAGAATGATCAATCCCAGCCCCAAAGCTATCGAGTTGCTCAGGAATGGACTGCATCCAGGATTTTACTCAATTCCAGCCACTGAAGCCAAGGAAAGAGCTCCTAGGCCTTTCTGGGTAGTTGCTCTCTCTGCGTGGAGAACGATGAGTGGTCACTCTCCTTTCTCTGGACATGAACAGGAAGCAGAGTTCCCCGGCTGCTGGCAGCTATTTTGCAACCATGAGGAAAAGAACTTGAGGGCAAAGTAGCATGGAGCCCTGTCCTGCTGTCCCTGCCGCTGCTGTCTCTTAGCCCTGTGAGCCACGCAGATTCCCTTGTTCAGCCTGGTGCAGTTTCTACTACCTGAAGCCTAAAGCAACCCACCAAGAACAAATATGTAAATTACGAAGAGTTACTAATTGTGTGTTCGTAAACTGAAATTAGATTTTTCAGACTATACTAAGCATTTATTTTCTTTCTTTTTTTAAATTTTTTTTCCTTTATTGATTTTTTAGAGAGAGAGGAAGGAAGAGAGGGAGAGAGAGAGAGAGAGAGAGAGAGAGAGAGATATCAATGAGAGAGAACATCAACTGGCCGCCTCCTGCATGCCCCCCACTGGGGATTGGGCCCACAACCTGGGCATGTGCCCTGACTGGGAATCGAACCAGTGCATGGGTCTACACTCACCCACTGAGCCACACGGCCAGACACTAATGTTTGATAACTTTGCAGAACTGTTGTTCCTG